TAGAAGAGTTTGTTGAATCTGACGTGACATGTTCGTACGAACCCTTTGTACGAACAAAAGTAAGGGAAATTTAGGATAAGAATACGAACATGTTCTTGCATGAGGCCCATTCTTTCTCAACTTTGCATTTGAGGTTTTATGACATAATTAGCTGTTCATGACTTTTATGGGCAGAATTTCTAGGTGCAGCCAAGGTGTTGAGGGAATCTGTTTTGTTGACCTTAGGATCTCTGCTTTTTTGCGGATGATGTGGTCCTATTGGCTWCATCAGATCCTGATCTCCAGCTCTCACTGGAGCGATTCGCAGCCGAGTGTGAAATAAAGCTAGTTGCCGGACCATCACAAATGAACATTTWAAAGTTTATCCACGGCTAAGACAATCTGTAACAATACAAAACACAAACAGGATGGGCCAATAAAAGCGGGAGGAAGTCAACAGATGAGAAAATGATTRTAAGTTGTGTGAGAGAAGACTCCAGCTTATTGATATGGAGATTTAACACGCACCACCTTCCACCTATGCAGCCTCTTTCTCCCTCTACCTCGTTAACAATGTGATTACAGACCTTGTTAAGGCTGCTAAATTTAAAACAACAGTTCCTTCACAGCGCAATTAACACAGCGGATGAGATGAAGGAGGAAAGAAGAGGAGGAAGAGGAGGAGGACACCTCAGACTTTGAGTGATTTGTATAGATTGTCAACTTTAGGTAATTATACAGATTAATCAACTGAAGTTAATGATGACTTAATGTATTAAACGCAATTCAATCTTACAATCTTAATTAAAAACCCAAACAAATGATGAAAAGTAATTACATTTAATCAAGTTTTGCACTCCTGTGTTTTTATTTTTTAATCTTCCTCTACCTCCACTCCACAGTTTTAATTAATGKTTTTTTGATTTTTAACTTGGTTACATGTCTGCCATTTTTAATTAATACCAAGATTAGAGTTTAATGGAATAAAAATAAAACAAACATTCAAATTCAACATTGCTTTGGGTTTCGGACATTAAAAAAAGTTGGCTTTGTTTTGATTAAATATTTCTCAAGCATCTTCTGTAAAGTATCACGTTTTTCTTTACAAATATTTTAGAAGCGTAATAAAAGAAAGCGACATACTTAATATCCGTTGTTCCAATAAATCTCACGATAAGACCAAAAACCAGAATTGTGTCAGTTTGTCGTATAAAGGTTTTGTTCTCCTATATTTGACTCCCCCTCCTCCCTCCATCCCTCTCTCCCTCCTCCCTCCTTCACGCAGTCTCTGTCAGGTTAAACACAGTAATTAAATGTCTGTTTTTCTGAGGTGATGAGAGTCCATTGTGATGCTCCGACAGCAGGTGTAATTTTCTCCTTCTCCTCAATCATCTCTGACAGATGGAGCGGTGGGCTGGAAAAAAAAACCCTCCAATCATCACCAGCATTTTCAGGCGTTTCAGAAAAAAAGAAGAAGAGTGCAGGCTCTAAAAGAAGCACGGTGACACACCGGAGCGCGCGCGCAATCACACACTCGCACACGCCCAGCAACTATTTGAAAACKGACTAACCGCCATGAAATCGAGCAGCTGGAGGGTGAAAACTCCACCTTCTAAAGCAGCAGCTTAGGAAAAGAGAGCAAATTAGGATGGAGGGATCAAAAGAAGAAAAAAAAGCTGGAGGTCTAAAAGCAATGTGTGTTGGTTGAAGTGAGTCAGGTGAGATAGACTCAGGGCGGGTTTGTTGTTTACTCGGCAAAAAAAAGAAAACAGTTTGGAAGTGCTCGGCTAAACGTGCTGACACAGAGACGGAGAACCAGGGAGGGATGGATGAGTGGAACAGGGAGGAGAGCAGGATGAAAAGGAAGAAAGAGGGTTTCTAGCGTCCTCGGGGTGCCCTGCAAAGCATGAAGGAGGATGTAAAATGAAAGAGAGCTTTTTGACTGCTGCAGGAGAACAACTGGGTTTTAATACTCCCCCCTTTTCACGTGTCTGCTACCCGCCAACCATGACACCTTAGAGCTCTGAAAAATGATCAGTTCAAGCTTCCTTTCCTTCTCAGCTGCTTTTAGGGCAAACCTTTTGAAGACAGGAACCGTTTGCCCAGAGATGGCAAAACTCATTTCTGATGTTTGTTTTAAAGCAATTCCTGTAATTTTCCTTAATTTTAARTTTCATGTTATGTATAAAAAACAATAAAACTGAGTCATGAATTTACTGTTAGAGTGTAATAAACAGCTGATTTTAAAAAAAATAATACAGTTTAAATTGAGATCCAGGTAGACTATTGCAAAGTACTTTTAATGGAAAGCAGCCATGGAGAGCCTCCGGGAAAGAAGCTAAATGTCAATAGACAATGCCATGCATGAATTTGAATAATCATTATGTCATCATGTATTTCTTTCTGACCTAGTTTCAGCTGRTGTCAGCTCTTTACATTCGTGACTCTTTTCTACTCACACTGGTTTTCAAACAGATGCATTCTCAAAAAAGTCTTTATATAATCATCTTTGACCAACAGCAGAGAAAAAAATATAAATCAATAAACATATTCTCCTCTGCTGTTTTATTTTTACTGTCGTTAAGTTTTCCAATTCAAGGCTGTGAAAATGTGTTTTGTTGACAAAAACTAACTAAACACTGACTTCAAGTATGGTTCTCCTTAGTGAGAAATCCGTTGACAAATTGTCAGACTTTTAAAAACATCCCTGAAAAAAAAAAAACTTGAGAAAGTCGGAGCGTCTGAAGCTTCACGTCAACAAATGAGAAGTGGTTTTAATGGAACACATTTCAAACCGAGGGACAGAGTGTTCACTCCCAACACCTCTGACTCACCACTATCTTGGCATCTCGGATGGTGTTTTCTGGCACAGTGACCCAGTACTCCGGCTGCTCCCACTGGGGCGGCTGGTTGTGGACGTTGGTGATGATGACGGTCAGCTCCACTGAGCTGCTGCGGTTTCCTCCATCAGATGCCACGATTTGCTGGTTGATCCTGGACGTCTGCAAGGAATCAAACAGTAAATACTGACTCTTTACCTCTCTTCAGATCACCACTCAGAACTCACTGATTCGACCTGGCCTACCCACCATAATCCCCTTCCTAATGTTACAGTTATTTGTTAAGCTGCCCATATTTATTTTTTTATT